GTAGCGCACGATGCACGCTCGCAGCGAGGAATTTGATGCTACCGAACTTCGGCGAGCGCGTGCTTCTTTGGAAACGATAGATCTTCGTGCTCTCGAGTTCGGACCCGATTAATTACGAAGTGAGTCTACCACGAGTGAGTGAATGACTCATTTGCATATCTCAGTCCCTGCAATAACTCGTGGTACGCTCGCGCGTACCCACGAGTTAAAAAACCATCATAGCTCTAGAATAATTCAGTTTGCATTTTATTTCTGTATTGTTTTTGGAAAATATTGAGGTCTGTGCTAAGCTAAGGCCCATGGTCAAATAATGGTCCGGCAGGCGGCAGAGGTCACCCTGTGCATAAGACTGAGACTCAGGCCACCACGCTTATGGCGTGGCGGCTCGGCCCCTCAGATTGCGTCGTCCTCGAGTACATCCACTTCCACCACTTCCAGTGCCGTACCGAGAGCTTTAATCCCTAGAGAACGTGTTCCTAAAAGTAATACCGGAAAGTACAAGGAAAGAGGTAACTCAGATCCAAAGAACATGAGTCCTCGTGATCGAATCGAAGAATTCCCAGGGGAAAATTTGTGTCTTCGAGGTGGAAAACTGTTTTGCAATGGGTGTAAGGAGATATTGAGCTCTAAAAAGAGCATTTTAAAAAAACCACTTGGCTTCCAAAAAAGAAGCCGCAGGCAAAGAGAAGTTAAAAGTAACAAAAAAGCGAGATCATGTGCGCACATGCGTATTTGCCACGCTAAAGACTGTAATACTGGAAGGTGGACTATATGAATGTTCATTAAAGTCAAAATTGATAGAGTTAAGCTACTGATGATCTTTATTTTCCTTAAAATCAGTGTAAAAAATAAGTAGCATAATTTCGGTGACAGAGAGCATAATTTTGGCATAATTTCTAAAAACTATGAGCACTACTAAAAGCATAATATGCGTTTTTTTCGAGCACAATCTACCAAAGCCTACCCCCCTCCCCCCTTCTCCCTTACTGATTGACCTGTTCCTTTCAATTCGTGTTATGAAAATACGAGCGCTGTGACTTGAATCGATAGCTCGACTTTTCGTTTGTTAAGAACAGGGCGCAAAATTTTCAATCAGTCACAAAGTTAAGTATGGCAATGAAAAACCAAAGTTATCACAAAATTGTGTCTGAAAATCAAGTAACAAATTTTCAAGAGGAATGACTGACCAAAGTCACTTGCTTTGATGGCTCACGGGTAGCTTAGTAAAGTGTGTGTGACGATAAATTAAACGAAAGATTACACCGCACGCTGAACCTAAGGCTTTGGCAACTTCCCTGGAAGCAATTTCTCTGGGAAAAAATGTTTTTTTAATTCATTTTGTCTTTTCAGATCACCAAGATAGGTTATGTAATACACAAGACTGCATCAAGGAATTTTCAAGTTTTAGCTGGCTCCGCTAGCTTTCTTTTCCCCTCTTATTGCTTAGGTAAGTTTCAACAAAACATTCACAATAAATAGAACACGGGACTTACCTAAACTGCATCAGGACACAGATGTGACTTTTGAATGCGGCACATTCTTCTTTGTACTAGTAAGCTTGACAGTGGAGCTTAAGCAACAACAACAGCGACCGCTGTGAAGTCGTCGCTGAATTCGCCCTCTTTGAACTTCATCGCTGTTATTCCAACTGGCTTAATTTCTTAAACATTGGCAGTAAAAAGTTCCTGGAATTGAATTCTCAGAGACGATAACTTTAAGTCAGAATAGGAGAGAAAAAATTGACGTCGTGTGCTTCCGCTCTACATAACTCGTTTCGTTTTCAAATTTTGCCTCGTCAAGTGCAGCTGACGAAAAAAAAGTCCGATAAAGTGTGATGCACGTGCAGAGGCCGTATAGGGCGCCCTATTCTCAACACTTCTCAATGGCCAACATTCGATATATTAAAATTCTAACACGACTCCGAGGCTCTCTGGTCATTTTTCTAATTTTTTCTATAATTATTTGGCTTGGTTTTCTTTGTGCTCAAGTCTCTTATGGGGATTGCGAGACAACGTAGTCTTGAAAAATTTTCAATTTTGATCCTAAAGCCTCGGAGTCATGTTAGAATTTTAACATATCGAACGTGGGCTTTCAGGCCAATTATATAGAGGATATTAAACGGTGGCGCGAAGATATGAATTTTATTAAATTCATATCTTCAAGCCGCCGTGTAATGTTCTTTTTATTATATAGACAAAAAGACATCGATGAAATAATAGAGGGAAATGACCGAAATTAAACCACTCGGGTCCCGGGTGTAGTTTTTATGAATTTTACGAGTGGTATATTTTCCAGTAAAACACTCGTGTCTATATAATAAATATAGATATACTTTTTACTTTCACTTACTTTTACTTTATTAATTCGCAAAGGCGGTAACTATCGCGCGGATATAAAATAATAATTACATTCAAAAAATAATAATAAAATAAAAAATAAAAATTACTTTACATACATAAAAATTGATTATTCAACAGAGAAGTTAAGCTAAAGCGATTAACAAAATAAAAAAGGGTCAAGCTCATCTTTGAATTTAGCAATGTTTGGCTGGTCCAATGTGGCGGGAGGGAGAGTATTCCATAGATTGCAGGCCAGGAGTCGATTCTTCTTTGGGTGGAAATTTCTTGTGCTCTTATATGGCATGAGGAGTAAGTCTTTGGGCAGGGGTATGTATATATATATATTTTTTGCTCTGGACTGTTGTTTGCGAGATGCATTGCATTTCTTTTGTAACTGCTTTAACTATGTTTAGGTGCTGTCGGTGGAGTATGCGCCTTGGCAAATGTTTTGGGAAGACAAGTTTGCCAACTTCATGAATTGTACAAACAAGGCAAAATGGAAGACGCTAAGCTTCTGCAGCACAAGTTAATCCAGCCAAACACAGCAGTAAGCGCTTGAATACGATTCTTAGGGCACTTTCCATTTGTCAGAGGTACCCAGCCAGGTCATTCCCAGCCAGATCAGTCAAATCCTAAATAGTATGCAAGAAGGAGATGGCTGTTGGGAAAAAGCCTATTTCATTGTCAAAATGAATGGTCTGACCATAATCTGGCCAGTCACCTCTGACATTTGGATAGCTTGCGTGGCAAGCGTTTCCGTTTGGTTTCGGGGCAAAGAAAGACCAAGGAACGGGAATTTCGGTTTTGGCCGCGCGACAAATGAACCGAGAGCCATTTTTCGCCATTTTTCGCGCGGTCTTCGACTCTCGTTCCTCGTTCTTTGCTCCGAAACCCGCACGGGAACGCTTGCTACGCGGGCTAACTTTTGGAAAGCGCACTTAAAGAGAAGAAACCTTGTGGAGTCATTCGTTGGTCTGTGAGACATCTAAAATAAGAGTACCATTCACCCTTAGTAGTGGCTTGACTGGTGATCATAACAAAGCAATCGATGTCCAATAGATTAGTGGCTTTGCTTTTCTTTTAACTACATCACCGTATTGTTACGAAGGGCTAGCACACGATACGTTAGCCAATAAGACTCTCTTCGGTAGCTGGTGTTTGTAGAGATTGTTTCTGTTACAGTTCTCCTGTTTTGTTTGTTTCGTTCTAGGTGACCAAAACATTTGGCGTTCCTGGATTGAAGAAATCTATGGAATTTTTCGGTTATTATGGTGGACCGACTAGATCTCCACTTCTTCCACTCAAGGACGCTCAAATAGCTCAGCTTAGAGAGATTTTCAAACCTTTTGAAGGTTTTCAAGGTTAAACAGCTCACCGTATCCAGTGACATCCAAAAAAAATCCCGTCGTAAAGTATTTTGTATTATCCTCGCGCAAAGAGTGTCTGTGCTCGAAATCTCTGCTGTCGACTTATTTTTTATGAAAGTGAAAGACGTTGAAACATATTTCTATAGCACAAGGTAGTAAACATTCGGTAGTTGAAATGCCGAACAGAATTTTGCGATGAAGCGGCGCGCCTAAGGAGGGAGACTTTTCTCCAAGAATATTTCTGTTGCTTAAGAGTTGATGAGATGTGTGTGGGACATGAAATGTTTAGGTTAGGGGCCGAATTTTTAGTTTTTTGACAAACGAAGTGAAGAGTGCGATTTACAAACTAGGACTTGACTAGTCCTGGAACAACCTTTGTGCGTGCGACCATAGTTAGTAAGAGTTCGTAAGGCAGGGTGCAAACAAAGACAAGAAAGTCGGTTTTAACTGAAGCTTGTTGCTAATAAGTACGAGCCAGAAAATCATTTTAACTAGCCTGAGAAAAAAATTTAACAAGCGGAATTACGAACTAAATAGTTATAATTATTATTTACTAATTGATTTCCTTTATGAATATATTACATTTATGTAAGAATTTAAACAATTTGTCTTGCAGTACTTCCCCAAAAAATCTTCTCTTGTTAAGAAAAGAACTCCCTAGCCCGATCGTGAAATCCACTGGTCCCGGGATATCGGGCACGACTCTCTTTGCATCCAAACGTGAGGGCGGCGTGTATCAATGAATGTGGATATTTTTTGTAAGTTTCTTATCAACGCCTAAGAAAATCTCGTCGATGACTGTATTTGGTCAATAAACTTGCCATGCATATACATAGAAGAACTATAAAGCTAAACTAACATTTTTGTACCGAAATGTGTAGCATTAAAATATCATGAATCACAAGAAATGATCAAACGTTTAGTTAATCGAAGAAAACGTCACAATACGAAAACAGATTGCGCTATTTTGTAACCCGCATTGCCGTTTCCATAGAATCCATTGAAATTCTAACAAAGGTACTGTACAAAGCTGACGCGTCAAATACTTCCTCAAACAAAGTACTTACGTATTAAATGTAATTATTCAGTTCTTTGACAACTAACTCGCAGCATAATTGCCGAAAAAGTGACAAATGCTTTTGCACGAAAAGGATTGCAAATCAAATTAGAACAGACCAGGGAAGAAGATTAATCCTACGAAGACAGTCTTGTAGTCCTCATTCGACTTCATCTGGGTTATCAGAAAAGAGCGAGGTTTAGTAGGCGCTTCGCTACGACGGACCGTTTGGAGATTATGTCGCGTGATCTAACAAGGCAGAACATCCCATCTATTGACAAGAAAACGAGAAAAGAAATAGACCGTCAACATACTCTACTCGCTGCAGAGCTCGATAAGAGAGCATTGAAAGGGAATGCGAAGGTAGAAGACTGGAGACATTACAAAGAATTCACGGGACTGACAAAAAAAGAGAAAAGGGAAAGATTTCAGATAACACAACAAAGAAACGAGATTTTGGATGAGTTGAAAAAGGTTCGACGAAGCTATACAGGGCATTATGACGAGACTAAATCGCCGATAGAAAACATTCAAAGCGCTTTAAGACATCAAAGCCAAACACCACTGAGAAGCTCAAGATTAGATGTACCGAATGTATATCCTATGCGAAAAACAAAATCAATGGAAAGTATGCCATTGAGGACAAGGCCTACAAGCCCTTCCACGGCTGAACGTGAAGCCCAGCGACCCAAAACTGTGCATTCAGTGAAGAAAACTTCACCAAAAACTTCGAAGTCAGCAAAACTACAGGTGTGAACTCGGGAGTTTGATCAAGTTGCAATGACTTACATCGCCGCGCATTTGTGTAAGCAGTCCCGGAAATACGTTCCTGCATTTCATTGTCTAAAGGCATAGCTTGTTTTCGCAATGAAACGAAATCGCCATGCCTATAAAGAAATCTGAAATCTCCCGAACAGCTCTTAATCCTTTCATTCGAAATTATTTTCTAACTTCAAACTTAAGAAGAATAGTGAAAAACCGATGAAAATATTACTCCATTTGGAACATAAAGCAATTTTTTTT